GGTGGGGGGTTCTGGTGGGGGGGCCTGGGGTGGGGGGTTCTGGTGGGGAGGCGTCGGTGCAGGTCGGGCCTCTGCCCTGTGCCAGCTCAGCTGTTCCTTCCTTCTGCGGAAGCTCCAGAGATCTTCCACTCCTTCGTCAACGGCGGGTCTGGCTACTCCTTCGAGGTGGACTGGTGGTCGGTGGGGGTGATGGCCTACGAGCTGCTTCGAGGATGGGTATGGACTCCCGCGACCGAGTGCCGGGAGGGACGCGGCCCCGCATGTGGCCCTCGGGGTGTTGTCCTCTCCGTCAGAGAGGCCGCAGGCTTTCAGCAAAGCGTCTGGGGTGCTGATCAGATGCACAAACTCACGGTGGGGCCTGTGTGCTGGCCCCTGTGGAGGGGGACAGGGCCAGGAGCCGCCTAGCAGATGTCCCTCAGAACTGTCCCTGGCCTGGCCAGGGAGGCTGGGCACCGCCCGGGCCTCACGCTGCCCTCCCTCCTTCCCGGGGCGCCACACCCCTCGGCCAGCCCACGGGGCCCATCACGGAAGGCAGCCCCCTCGCGTGCACCTGCAGCGCCCGTCCATCCGGGTGGAGGCCGAGCTCAGAGCTGTGCCTGCACTTGGGGTGGGAGGGTGGGTGATCTCGGGGTGCCGGCACCTGTGCCTGGCATTCATGGGGCGCAGCGGGGCGAGGGCTGCCTGCCCAGCACTGCCTCCCTGCCCCAGAGGCCCTACGACATCCACGCCAGCAACGCCGTGGAGTCCCTGGTGCAGCTGTTCAGCACCGTGAGCGTCCAGTACCTGCCCACCTGGTCCAAGGAGATGGTGGCCCTGCTGCGCAAGGTGAGTCCCGGCCCCGGTGGCCTCCCCCAGCCCCGGGCAAGTCCCTCCACCCAGCCTCAGCCCACACCTGCCCAGGTGGCTCCCAGTGGGGCCTGGGTCCCGGAGGGCCCAAGTGGCGAGGGGGTGATCCACCCACCCAGGCCCACACAGGGGAAGCCTGGCACGGGGCCTGTGGCATCCCCGTACTGGCAGCGGCACAGGTGCGGTGGGCCAGGCGGGAGGCACTCGGCCCTGGGACACGGCTGCCTTGGTCACGCTGCTGCCCAGGGCCCACCCGGCGTGGAGGCCCCACGCTGAGGCCAGGCGGTTTGGGGTTACTGTCGGGCCAGCCTCCGCCTGGTGCTCTGGGGAGAGCGTTAGCCAGCCCTCGGCTGCCACCTCCTGGCGGGTCCTGGCGGGATGTCCCCCGCAGATGCCGTCCCTGGTCCTGGGGCACCAGGGGCTTGGCCACACCGCTCACTCCAGATGGTCCCTTGGGCCACTTTGCCGAGCTGAGCACATTGTTCTGCCCAGATCGGCGCCACCTTCTCTGCCCTTGAGGTCCTGCTTTTCTGCACCTCAGGCCTGGAGGCCACCTCCACAGGGGGCAGGTGCCGGGCTGGGCCCCGCGGGCTGCCCGGTGGCCCGTCTGACCTGGCCGCCTTGCAGCTCCTCACCGTGAACCCCGAGCACCGGCTCTCCTGCCTCCGGGACGTGCAGGCCGTGCCGTCGCTGGCCGCCGTGCCCTGGGACGGCCTGATGGAGAAGAGCGTGGAGCCCGGCTTTGTGCCCAACGTAAGCCCCCAGGGCCTCGGCTCCGGGACCGGGCGGTGGGCGCCACCCGCCGGCCTCCGCTGAGCACTCTGTCCCCGCAGAAAGGCCGCCTGCACTGCGACCCCACCTTCGAGCTGGAGGAGATGATCCTGGAGTCGCGGCCCCTGCACAAGAAGAAGAAGCGTCTGGCCAAGAACAAGTCGCGGGACAACAGCCGGGACAGCTCCCAGTCCGTGAGTGCCGGGTGGGGGCCGTCCACACCCGCGCACGGGGCCCTGGCGGGCCGCACGTCTTGCAAGTCCGGCGGGTGGTCTCCCCACAGCCCTGGGAAGGCCCCCAGCACCCTCCTGATGCCTCGCCCGCCCACCTCGCCCCTTCTGACGTGGGTGGGCAGTGCCCCCGGGAGCTCGGCTGTGAGCACAAGCCCTGTGTCGCCCTGGCCGTGTGTGTCGGTTGTGAATGATGCTGCTGTGAGTTGTTTTTATTTTTTATTTCAGCATATTATGGGAGTACAAATGTTAAGGTTACATATGTTGCCCTTACCCCCTCCACCCCCCTCAAATCAGAGCTTCAAGCGTGTCCATCGCTCAGATGTTGCACATCTCACCCATTATGTGTGTATACACCCATCCCCTCCTCCCCCCTCACACCTGCCCGACCGATAAATGTCATTCCTGTATGTCCACTGAGGTGTTGATCAGTGAAACCAGTTTGCTGGTGAGTACATGTGGTGCTTGTTTTTTCCATTCTTGGGATACTTCACTTATAGAATGGGCTCCAGCTCTATCCAGGAAAAACAACGAGTTTTTATATCACCATTGTTTCTTATAGCTGTACTTATAGGAGTACTATAAGAAGCTGAGTACTTCTTATAGTACTCCATGGTATACCTGTATACATGGTATACCTGTATACATGGTATACATGCCAAGCTTTTTATTAATCCACTCATGTATTGATGGGCACTTGGGTTGTTTCCACATCTTTGCAATTGTGAATTGTGTTGCTATAAACATTCTAGTGCAGATGTTTCTTTTATAGAATGTCTTGTTCTTTGGGATAATGGGATTGCTGGGTCAAATGGTAGATCTACTTGTACCTCTTTGAGGTATCTCCAAATTGCTTTCCACTGAAGGTTGTACTAGTTTGCAGTCCCACCAGCAGTGTAGGAGTGTTCCTATCTCTCCGCATCCACGCCAACATTTATTGTTTTGGGACTTTTTGATAAAGGCCATTCTCGTTGGAGATAAGTGATATCTCATGTGGTTCTGATTTTCATTTCCCTGATGATTAGAGATGTTGATCATTTTTTCATATGATTGTTGGCCATTGTTCTGTCTTCTTTTGAAAAGTTTCTGTTCATGTCCTTAGCCCACTTTTTGATAAGGTTGATTTTTTTTTTCTTGCTGATTTTCCTGAGTTCTAAATAGATTCTAGTTATCAGCCCTTTATTGGATGTATGTGTAGCTTGTGAAAATTTTCTCTCATTGTGTAGGTTGTCTATTTACTCTTGTGACAGTTTCTTTGGCTGTGCAGAAGCTTTTTAATTTGATCAGGTCCCATTTATTTATTTTTGTTGCTGCTGTGATTGCCTTTGGGGTCGTCTTCATACATTCTTTGCCTAGGCCAATGTCTAGAAGAGTATTTCCAATGTTTTCCTCTAGAATTCTAATAGTTTCACACCTTAGGTTTAAGTCTGTTACCCAGCATGAGTTGATTTCTGTGAGAGGTGAAAGGTGTGGATCCTATTTCAGTCTTCTACATGTGGCTATCCAGTTTTCCCAGCACCATTTATTGAATAAGGATTCTCTTCCCCAGTGTTTTTGTCTGCTTTGTCAAAGATGAGATGGCTATATGAGGATGGTTTTATATCTGGATTCTCAGTTCTATTCCACTGGCCAATGTTCCTGTTCTTGTGCCAGTCCCAAGCTGTTTTAATTACTACAGCCTTGTAGTATAGTTTGACGTCTGGTAAATTGATACCTCCTATTTTGTCCTTTTGCTTAAGATTGCTTTTGCTAAATGGGGTCTTCTCTGGTTCTATACGAAGTGTAAAATTATTTTTTCTAGGTCTGTGAAAAATTGTGTTGGTATTTTAATAAGGATTGCATTGACTCTGTAGATCCTTTGGGGTAGTATAGACATTTTAAGAATGTTGACTCTGCCGACCCACGGCTGCTGTGAGTTTTCACGTACAAGTCTTTGCACCAATGAATTTCATTTTTTTTTGGAAACACCTGGAAGTAGGACCGCTGGGTCACATGGCACCTCTATGCTTACCGTTCCGAGGAGCTGCCAGGCTTTCCAGATGGGGCGCAGCTCACGTTCCCTTCCCTGGACAGAACCCCCTTCCTAGCCTCACGCTCCACACCCTACCTGCCCCCACCTCAGCACCCGCTGGGCCACGTGCCACGGCTGGCACTGGGCGGGCTGGTGCAGGCAGAGCCTCAGGGGCAGGTGTGTGTTGCGAGGCGTGGTCTGCGGGAAGAGGAGGGGCCCCTGCTGCTGTCGCGGCACGTGTGGGGGGCTGGGTCGACGCCTGCGTGTGTGTCTGCTCCCGTCCCCGCCCAACCCTCCGAGTCCAGCCTCCCACCAGGGCCTGGGCTGTGCACAGGGACCTTCCCAGGCTGTGGATCCGGCCTTCTCGGAAGTTCTGCTTGGCTCACGCGAGCGTGGCCCTCAGTGTGCCTCTGATTCTCGCCGAGCCTCAGGTTGCCTCAGGTTGCCTCAGGCTGCCCTAGCCGTGTTTGCTGGTGCTCTGCCAGTTACCTGCGGCAACCACCCAGAGTCGCAGTCCCCAGTTACTCTTGCCTTGCATCTCGCCAGCACCAGAGCCGCCATAGGGGACCGGACCTGCATCGAGCCTCGTGCCACCAATACGGGGTCCTTGTGCACGTGGCCAAGGGCAGCCCAAGTCCAAACCCCTTTCCTGAGGGTGGGAACAACCCCCGAGACCAGCTTCTCAGGGCAGGCTCCCCAGAAACAGGCCCTGGCCCGGGGGTTTGTTTACCAGGGACAGGGAGGGATGGTGAGGACCCAGCCGGAGAGTGAGGACACAGGACGGGGTGGGCAGAGGAGTCCGACGGGGGTGGCTCTGGCACATCCCGCTGACATCCCGGACACATGTCCACCAGAGGCGGGAGCTGGGCGGTGGCACCCAGCACCCCTCCTGCCAGACGGACTGTGGCGGTCGTCCAAGGCCAGCCACAGGTGCGGGCCCGGGAGGACGGGAGGAGAAGCTCACCTCGACCCGAGGGCCCCGCGTAAACCTGGACACGTCCCCAACCAACCCCTCGTGTGTCCTTCCGTTCCCAGGAGAACGAGTACCTGCAGGACTGCCTCGACGCCATCCAGCAAGACTTCGTCATTTTCAACAGAGAAAAGTGAGTGTGTGTTGGGGCTGGTGGTGGCAGAGAGGGGGACACTGGCCACCCAAATGCTGACCCCGCAGCTGCATGGCCTCGAGGGCCCGGGGTGCTGACCCCACTCTCTCTGGGGAGGTCCCCGTTCAGGCTCTTGCATGGGGTGGGGGCTTCCCGGGAACGTTTTAGTTCCAAGTGGGGCCGGTGGCCGGACCCTCCTGGGGAGAGGCGTGGCTCGTGGCCCAGGTCAGTGGCTTCCAGGGCCGCCCCGTCAGAGCCACGGCCCCACTGAGGCACACCCGCGCTGTGTCATCCACGCATGCAGCAGACCTTTCCTGAGCGTCAGGTACCGCGGGACAGAAAGGGCACACATGGCTGGTGGGAGGGGCGCCCGCGCCCGCTGCCTGAGCAGGCAGGGAGGGCCTCCTGGAGGAGGTGGCCCTGTGCTCTGGCCAGGAAGGACAGCGTGTGGGGATCCGAGGGCCAGGTGAGGAGCAGGACTCCGCCGAGCTCTTGGCAGAGCTGCCCCGAGGCACACGCCCAGTCCCGCCTCCCTGCACCCTCTGGCTGGAAGTGAGCTGGGACCCTCAGCCACCACCCCAGCCCCCCAGAGTCGGGGGGTGCTGTGGGGCTCTCTGCCGTGTCCAGGGGTCCCAGAACAGGGCTTCCCGAGGTACTGCCCAGGCCACAGCACTGAGGGACACGTTCCGTGAGTCCCTGAGCGGGTCGTGGGACCAGCCTCAGGAAGTGTCCCGGGGCAGCTGGGCGGGTGCACAGGCCCCTCCTGTGTCTCTGCCCCCAGGCTGAAGAGGAGCCAGGACCTCACCACCGAGCCTCCCCCAGGACCAGAGAGCAGGGACGCTTCGGAGCCCACGGAGGACAGCGAGGCGGAGCACTCCGCCCTGCCCATGTGTGGCTCCATCTGCCCCTCGGCCGGGAGCAGCTAGGCTCCGGGCTGGTGCGTGGACAGTTACTGCTCAGGTGGCTTTGGGGCCCGGGGCCGCCAGGGGCAGCGGGCGGAGGCTGTGGTCCCAGGCTGGTGGTGCCACGGTGCCCGGCCACATTTCAGACCTTGGCTTGTGGTGGTGCCATTTGGCCCCCGGGGGACCCGTGATAGTGGAGGATGGGCACAGCTGCCCACCCTGGCCTCTCCTGGGGGCCCTGTCACCACTGGCTGTCAGGTCACCGGGGCCCCAGCCTCTGGTGTCTCGCAGGCTGTACATAGCCCTGGTCCCCACGGCCCGGCCGCGGCCTCCTGTCCCAGCGGTGGGTGCACCCAGACTCTGCTCGGTTCTTGGCGGGAGGGTCCTGGGCGGGAATGTGAAGAGTGTTTTCTAGAGATACGAACTGTTGTGGCCATTTCTGCTGTTTCTGTATAGTTTTCACCTCTGAATCACAGTATAAGAGCTACTCCGCGTTGCGTGTTCTGTGCCTGCCAGGGGACACGGAGTCCGGCCGTGACTCAGGCTGGGGGTGGCTGCTCAGGGCAAAGCCGCAGACGGCTTCTGTTCCCCCTCCGCCCCAGCCCTGCCCAGCGGGACTCGGGGACGCCCCCCCCCCGGGAGATGGCGCAGGGGGTCTCCACGCACAGACAGCTTCTAACCCGATGGCTTTAATTGACACGATTCGCACCGGACCGGGGCGACCGCCCGCACCGGGTGGCATGCACAAGGTCTGGCTGCGGCGTCCTCGCCGTACAAAACTACTCTATAAACCTATCGAAATACACGTTTTGTAATAAAAGGAGCATCTCGGCTAAAGGGCCGTGACGTTTCCCTGCAGAGGGGCTACTACGAGAGCTCAGGGTTGGTCCCAGGGAACGTGCACACGTGTCCCCACCCGAGGGTCCCTGGCGTCTTGGCACCCCCGTGCCCCCTGCCGTCCACTCGCGCCCGCCTCCAGGGAGCTGGCGGAAGTGGGGCTTCTGCCATCAGGGCCTGGAAGTGGGGGACCCCCGGTTGTCCCCGTGGTCCCTGACACACCCGGGGTCCCTGCGGGCGGCGGGCCCTCTGCTAGCACCCAGCCCGGCCGCCGCAGCCATCCCTGCTGCGTCCAGCCGCCTCGCCCTGGCAGTGAAATCCCCCAAACTCTGCCCTCTTCAGGGGGGGCTCCTCACATGAGGACCTGGGACCCCGGAAGGAGAGCTCGTGGGGGAGGGGAGGGCAAGGCCGAGCACCTTCTAGAACAGCTTCTACAGGGAACGCCGGCAGAGGGCGGCAGCAGCCAGCTCTGCGTCTGCCCGCGCAGCATGGCACCTGCCGAGGTCGGGCGTCTAGGAGAGGGAGGTGATGTTGGAGTGCCCGCCGGGGGGCGCCATGATCTTCTGCGCCGTGCGCCGGGCGATGTGGTCGTCCGCCTGGGACCCTGCAGAGGGGGCGGGGAAGTGGGCTCGATGGGAGAGCCCCCGCCCGCCCACACCCGCGTGGTCACTCCACCCCTGGGCTGGGCACAGGAAGCACCTGCCGGGTCCTCAAGACCTGCAGGGACCAGGGCTCGAGGCTCACCCTGCAGGCGTCAGCCCCGCCGTACCCAGAGGAGAAGGCCAGGCCAGGCCGCTGCAGCGCCCCCAGGGATGCCCCCTGGTCCCCAGGAGGCCAGTGGGGCCACCAACACCTCCCTGAGCCCTGAGCTTGGAGGACGTGCCAGGGGCCCGGTCCCGGGGTCTGCACCCAGATGTGGCTCTCCTCCCCCTCCCCCTCCACCCTGGGCTGGGGGGAGCTGCCTCCCCATGACACTCGGACCCCTGCGGAGGCCCCTCCCCTCCCCTGGGCTCAACGTGGCAGCCCCCACTATGTGCCCGAGTCCAGAAGGGGGCTCAGCCCATCAGGCCCCTTCCCCAGCCGGGCTCACCAGGCCCCGCCGTCCACCCACCGGCCGGCCCAGCCCCAGGCCCACTCACCAGACAGGCTGAACCCCGACTGGTGCAGGTTGCGCACGGCTGGGATTGCGATCTTGCCCGTGCAGGACGCTCGAGCCGGGGTGCCACCCCCCGGCTTGGCCGGCACCATCACCTCGTGCACCGGCCCATCGTAGAGCCCGCGGGGCACACCATGGATCTCTGCCAGCTGCGGGCGGGGGGCGTGAGGGGCGGTGCCACAGGCAGCCATGGACCCGGCCTGGTCTGCTGCGCCCCCTTGGGCTGGGCTCAGGAATTTGGGTTCCCCCAGTGGGGCGTGTCCCCCCACGCGCACACGTGCCTGGCCCTCCTGCCCACACACAGGTGCGCACATCTCGCTCCCTATACCCCATGCACACCTGCTGGCACACACGTGCCCCACGCGTGCCAGATGCAGGAGCAGTGCTGAGAGGGGCCTGCACACGGTCTCTTTCTGGAAGAGGAAACCGGCCCCACAGAGTGGCCACCGCCTATCCCTAAGTCCCGCCCCTCCTGAACCGGCCCCAAGGCCAGAGGCACTTCCCAGAGCCCCCCGGGACAGACGGTCCCTGCACTGCCAGCCCTTGCACGTGCTGCCTTTCCAGTGGGTTTTGTTTTTGTTTTTTTTTGAGACAGGGTCTCACTCTGTTGCCCGGGCTAGAGTGCCGTGGCGTCAGCCTAGCTCACAGCAACCTCCAACTCCTGGGATCAAGCTATCCTCCTGCCTCAGCCTCCCAAGTAGCTCGGACTACAGGCATGCGCCACCATGCCAGGCTGATTTTTTGTATTTTTAGTAGAGATGGGGCCTCGCTCTTGCTCAGGCTGGTCTCGAACTCCTGAGCTCAAGAGATCCTCCCGCCTCAGCCTCCCAGAGTGCTGGGATTACAGGCGTGAGCCACCATGCCCAGCCTTCCAGTGGCATCTTGCTCAGGGTTCAGGGTTGGAGTCACGACTGTGGGGTCTGAGGCCTGGCCCTGCGGGTCTCTGATCAGATCCTGCCCTCGGGGTGGCAGCGGGCAAGGGGGGAGGGAGGGTGAGCGTGGGGCGTTAAGCTCGAGGATTCGGAGGGTCTGCACGCAGACCCCCCACCCCTAGTGTGTGGCTGGGAGCCACCGTGCCCCCACCTGCCCCGGGCAGGCCCAGGCCCACCTGCGCCCAGCAGGCCCCACCCGCCTTCCTGGCCACCCGGGGCTGGGCCGGGCCGGGAGGCAAAGCCGCAGGAACACAGAGAAGCTCCCGGCACCCCGTCCACGAACGCCCCACCGCCCGGCGAGGCCGCGCTTACCCGGTTGCGTGCCTTTATCCTCTTGTAGACGAAGTCCGGGAAGGTCTTCCGGGGAACGAAGCGGCCGGCGCCCGGGGTGACGAACAGGGCCCCGTCCTCCAGCACCACCCTGCCCTGGCTCACGACCAGCACGGGCGCTCCGCGGCACTCCACCCCCTCGAAGATGTTGTACTCCACGTTCTGGGGGGGAGGCCCGGCGTCCATCGTGACCACCACGCGTGGCCCTTCAGCCCCACCCCCTTCTGCCGCCCGCATGTTCGACGGCCGCCCGGCACCCAGAGGCCTGGCGGGCCTGCGCCGGGACCCCCAACACCACGCGGTCGGCTGGGTGGGGGGCCAAATTCAGGAGGAACCGACCCCGAGACCCTCGAGCCCACCCCGAGTCCTGTGTTCAGGAGGGCAGAGGGACGGGAGTGGGCAGACAGGAAGGGCCACTCCTCCCCCGGCTGGGCAGGCTCGTGGCACTGTGCTGCCTCAGTCTCCTCCCTGCGCAACTGGACCACAGACGCCCCAGCCACACGCCCCTCGTGAGGGGCAGCCCTGTGAGCAGTGCCGCCGTGGTGCCGGCCGGTGGGCACGGCGAGGTCGGCGGGCTGCTGCTGCAGCCCTGTGTGCGCTGCGTGGGGGTGGGGCAGCCGGCCGTGGTCTCCCTCCCTGGACTCCCCGGGAAGCTGCCCCGGGGCTCCCCAGCCCCGACCCAGACAGCTGGGCCTCTCACCACATTGTGGCTCTTGGCAGAGATGATCTTCGTGGCCTTGGGGTTCCATATGACCAGGTCAGCGTCAGAGCCCACGGCCACGCGCCCCTTCCTGGGGTAAATGTTGAAGATCTTGGCAGCGTTTGTGCTGGTCACCGCGACGAACTCGTTCTCATCCATCTTCCCCGAGGCCTGAGGGGGGAGGAGGCAGAGCTGAGGGTGGGGGCTGGTCTGGGGCTTCCATGGGGACAGTCCCGGGCCACTGGGCTTCCATGGGGATGGTTCCAGGCCACTGGCTTTCCTGTGGGTGGCCACTAGGCTTTCATGTGGACAGTCACCAGACCACTAGGCTTTCACGTGGACAGCCACCAGGCCACTGGGCTTTCCTGTGGACAGCCACCAGGCCACTGGGCTTTCACGTGGACAGCCACCAGGCCACTGGGCTTTCACGTGGACAGCCACCAGGCCACTGGGCTTTCACGTGGACAGCCACCAGGCCACTGGGCTTTCCTGTGGACAGTCACCAGGCCACTGAGCTTTCACGTGGACAGCCACCAGGCCACTGGGCTTTCACATGGACAGCCACCAGGCCACTGGGCTTTCCTGTGGACGGTCACCAGGCCACTGGGCTTTCACATGGACAGCCACCAGGCCACTGGGCTTTCCTGTGGACAGTCACCAGGCCACTGAGCTTTCACGTGGACAGCCACCAGGCCACTGGGCTTAGCCACCAGGCCACTGGGCTTTCCTGTGGACGGTCACCAGGCCACTGGGCTTTCACATGGACAGCCACCAGGCCACTGGGCTTTCCTGTGGACAGCCACCAGGCCACTAGGCTTTCACGTGGACAGTCACCAGGCCACTGGGCTTTCACGTGGACAGCCACCAGGCCACTGGGCTTTCACATGGACAGCCACCAGGCCACTGGGCTTTCACATGGACAGCCACCAGGCCACTGGGCTTCCATGTGGACAGTCACTAGAGCACTGGGCTTTCCTGTGGTCACTGGGGTGCCACCCAGACAGTAGAACGGAAGGTTACGATCAGGGTCCTTGCCACGTCAATGCCTCATGGCACAGACGCCCGGCCGGGGGAGGGTCCACTGCCCATGGGAGTCAGAGTCCGTCTCAGCCACGCCTGCCGGGGACCCTTCCCGTGGACGAAGCTTGTTTCTGTGCTCACCTTGTGGGCAAACGCTGAGGCCTCAATAACAACCTCTGTGTCCCTTGAGGGACTGTGACAGTCTTCCTGGGGAGGCCAGGACCCTTGGGGGGGGCAGGGACAGGCTGGGGGGTGCTCAGGGCCTGGGGGTGGGTATAGGACATGGGGGGGGGCCGAGTGCAGGCAGTGGGGGATGGGGCTGAGGACTCCGGGCTGTCAGGAGAGCACTGGCATCGCAGAGTCGCTCTGTGGGGCAGGGACCCACCCACGTGTGCAAATGCATCTATCTCAGAGTGACACTGGGGTCTGCAGGGACAATAACAGCTGCCCTGGGGGCCAGGACCTGGTGTCGGGAGCTCTGGGTGCCGGGCTGCCTCTGGGTGGGGCCCCAGCCTGTCTCACGGCCACTTGCTGGCCACGCAGCTCTTTCTGGCGGAATGCCAGAGCTCCGCTACGGCCCCTCCCAGAGGACCAGGTGCCCGGCCAGGCCCGTACTCACCACACACTTCTCCCAGACCACGGACATGCGCTCCTCCACGCCGTTGGTGCCCTCGGGGATCAGGGTGAAGTTGTCTTTGCCAACGGCCTTCTGGGCAGTGGTGAAGGTGCAGTGGGCACTGCCCGTCACCTGGAGGTCCCCGCTGGAGGAAAGCCAGGGTTTGGAGGAGCCCAGAGGTCGTAGCCTGCTGATCCCCACCCTGGCCAGCACAGCCCGGGGACTGGAGGTGTCTGAGAGACCCACACCAGGCAGAGATGGTGCCTGGGCAGGGGCAGGGTGGGCGTGGACAGAGCCGGGAGGGGCCCTGAGGGGTATGGGGTGGGGTTGGTTCCCATGAGGAAAGCCCCAGCTAGGGCCACAGGCTCCGACCCTGCACCCCCGCTGCCTGGGCTGCTCTGCAGGGGCCCAGGCTTTCTGTGCAAGAGGCCTGTTGCCATGGGTCACCCATGGGCTGCAGCCATGGCAGGCATGGAGCACGCAGGCTGACCTGGTGCCACGCAGGTGCGGCATACCTGGACAGCAGGCAGGCGAGGTGGTCCGCTGTGCCCGGGTCGGGGCTGATGGGGGGTGACGTGACGAAGGCGGCGGCCTTGGCCCAGTTCTTGCTCCAGTAGTGGGAGCCGTCGGCGCCCAGGCTGGCGGTGATGGGCTCCCCGAACACGACCGCCCCTGCAGTGCAGAGCCCGTGAGGGAAGCCCCACCCCTGGCCTGCTCACCAGGGCAGTGGGACTGTAGGAGCCCGAGCATGGGGGCCTGGGCACTGCCGCTGCCGACACCCCCATACCACCCCTGGCTTTCCTGGCCAGGGACAGCCTGTCCTCAGTCTGGGGCCCGAACACTGCAGGGGCCGGCAGAGGCCTCAGTCCTGGGCAGACACGTCAGCCCGGAGGTCCCACAGTGGGGTCTGGAGCAGCTAACAGCAGGTGCTCTCTGAACCCACAGCCGCAGTGGGGGTCAGGCCAGCCGGGCACTGAAGCCACAGCCTGTCTGTGCGGCTGCCCACCGACCCTGGGTCCCCTGGCCACGGCCTCGCTGTGGGGCTCTGGCTCAGGGCTTGTGCTGCTCCCACCAGTGGCAGGGGGAAAGGCTCGTGCAGGGTGGGGGGCCCACAGGAGAGCAGCTGTCAGTGGCAGGAGGGGCTCCTGGCTTTGTCCTGCAGACTCCACTCCCGTGCCCAGCATGACCTCCCCGTCTTCTTCCAGGTCACTGGGAGGGTTTCTGTTTCACCCCTGCGTGCACCCACCCCATGCAGGGCCCCATAGCCTTGGGCAGTCCAGAGACCGAGTCCCCTCCCTGAGACTGGCTGGGGACAGCAGAGGTGGGAACTAGACTGGACCCTGGGCCCAGGGCTTCTTGGAGACGTTGCCTCATTTACCCACCCCTGGGCCCTGCACCCTACCCCGGCCCCGTCCAGGGGCTCCCCAGACCCTCTGCGCCCAGCAGCCTGTCTGGAGGACCCCACAGCCCAGCGCCTGCCGGTCACCGCTGCGGGCCCCGCCCCCTCAGCCAGGCTCGAGACGCAGATTCTGCCTCCGGCCAGCCGTGGGCAGGGAGCACCCCAACACTTGGGACATGCTCCCAGTTCCCGACACATGGCAGACACCGTGGGGGGGCCCAGGTGGGGCTGAGGTTCCCTCTCGGACACCCACATTCCTGTCATCCCGCCCCTGCCCTGTGCACGGGGTGCACGGCCCACGTTTTGCTGCAGGCCCAGTGAGGGAGGCTGGGGCTCAGGTCCAGCCCGAGCCGGGGCGGCGCTCACCTCTGCGCTTGGCCTGGGCGATCGTGTCGGCTGCCCCCCTGCCCATGACCTTGGTGACATAGAGCGGGCAGTTGGCCTGCTTCGCGATGGTGATGGCTCGGTACACGGCCTCGGCCTCCACCTGGGGACGGTGGGGGTGGGGGGCTCAGACCACCTGGGGGTCACCCCAGGGACCCTGCCGGGGGGAGCGCCCAGCCTGGGGCTGCTGCTGGGGATGGGCTGACCATGCAACCCCAGGGCCCGACTCCCGCCTTCTGACTCCCCCCGTGAGCCCCAGTGCTCACGGGGCAGAGCCGGGGGGTGGGGGGGCTGCAGATTCGCCTCCCAGACGCTGGGTGGGCCAAGCCCTGCCGGGGTTGGAGTCAGGGCCAAGGTCCACCTAGTCCGGGGCGGCGGCAGCAACGTGGGCCGCCGTCTGTTCTGGGCGCCGTGGCGCTCTGGGCAGGCGTGGACGCTTACCTCCTCGGGGTGGCTGAGCACGTGGCCCTCGGGGCCGGTGATGCCAAGTTCCAGCAGCCGCTTCTGCTCCTGAACAGACCAACAGACAGGAGGCTCGGCCCGGCCCCCGACACCCTGGTGCCGCCCCCAGAGACACTGTGGTTTTGGAGTATTTTTGACAAGAAGTGTGGTGACAAGTGTGTCTGGTGGCTTTCAGAGCTCCCCAAGCCTCCCTCTAACTCACAGGCTGTGTGACCTCTGACCCTGGGTGCACTATTTATTGTAATACACCTAGTAGTCTCTCCTCGAGGTCTTGTGGAATTAGGTGCTCACACTGCCTGTTGTCGGGGTCACCCCCACGTCCCCACCCCCACTGGGTCCCCACAGCACCTCCTCCACGATGTCCCCGTTCTCCGCGTGCACCTGGGCCACGGCCCCCAGGTCCCGGATGATGCTGAAGATCTCGTACATCTGGGAAGAGACGCGAACGGGGCCGTGTGGGCGGCGCTCTTGTGGCGACCTGGCGCTCACCTGCCACCTTCGCCCGCACCTGCCCTTACCTGGCCGTCGGTGCACTGGCACCTGTCCTTGTAAGCCATGAAGACCAGGAAGGAGTTCACACCTGGGGAAGAGGCGGGAGGGCTCAGGCGGCTGGGCCACCACCAGCCAGACAACCCAGGGAGCCTGCCCGGCGCGAGCACAGCCCCCGCCACACCCAGCAGGCGGGGGCAGGGACCGTCGGCCACACCTGGCCCCCACCTCGGCCTGCTGCTCCTTGCCCCCTGGGTGCGGAACTGACTGTCCCCCCAGTGGCAGGTGCAGGTGAGAGCCGCTCACACCTGTCCACAGACCCCAGGCAGGAAGGGACACCTGCTCTCTACAGGAAACCTGACCCCAGCTGCGCCAGTGACCCTCACTGTGCCCATCCAGCACATCCGCCTGCCTGCGGGGCCCTGCCTGCCATGCCGGCTCGTGGCACATGCTCGTGTGACACTGTGGGGGCAGGCAGCGTCCAGGGCCAGGCTGGGGACAGTCAGTGGGAGGGCCAAGCTGTCCCGCTCCCGGGGACCTGCAAGAGGGAGACCTGCAAGAGGGAGACCTGGAGGCGGCTCCCCCTCCCACCCCCCAAGCCCACCCAGCCCCCAGCCTCCCTCCTTGCTGGGTCAAAAATGCAAATGTGACAAGCTGAGGCACACTGTGGGGAAACTGAGTCACCCTGTGCCACACAAGCCACCCCCAGGTGACAACCCACACGTGACCGTGCATCTGGTGCTGGTGGCAGGGATGGGGTCCTGTCCCTGTGACACATGCAGCCAGCACAGGACCGACGACCCACGCCCAGCTCTGCGGGGAGCGGAAGCCCCGGCTCTGCCCTGGCAAGGCAAGGGGAGGCTGGCCCCGGCCTCTGCTCTGGCAGGGCGAGGGGAGGCTGGCCCCGGCCTCTGCTCTGGGCCTCCTGCGCCCTGCCAGGGGCAGAGCTGCCGCCACAGCAGGGCAGGGCCGGCGATGGCTCTACCAGCCCCAGCGCAGGGCTGGGGGTCCTGGGTGCCTGAGGACGCCCCAGTGAGGACTGTTACTCTGGGAGGGGACCCAAAGCGACGGTGACCCCGTCCCGCCCGGCTGCGAGTCGCGGGTCATACTCCATCAGAGAAATCGGTTCCATCAGTGACGGTGCCCCTCAAGTGCGGTTTTAGCTTCGAGACTTGTCACAAGAAAAAGTTAAGCCTGTTTATAGGCTGGTTTGTTTCAGCAAAGGCAACGACAGAGACACAGGAGTGCCGGAACATTCTCCCTCTAAAAGGACCTTGATCCTAGCTCTCTGGGAGGCCGAGACGGGAGGATCGCTTGAGGTCAGGAGTTTGAAACCAGCCTGAGCAAGAGCGAGACCCCGTCTCTACTATAAATAGAAAGAAAATAATTGGCCAACTAATATATATAGAAAAAATTAGCTGGGTGTGGTGGTGCATGCCTGTAGTCCCAGCTACTTGGGAGGCTGAGGCAGGAGGATCGCTTGAGCCCAGGAGTTTGAGGTTGCTGTGAGCTAGGCTGAAGCCACAGCACTCACTCTAGCCTGGGCAACAAAGTGAGACTCTGTCTCAAAAAAAAAAAAAAAGGACCTTGAAACACAGGGAAGACGGGCAGCTCTTTTCCTTCCCCCGGGTGGTCTATTTGCCGAGAACGGTGGGGACCCCCCGCCTGCCGCATCCCTCCGTGGGAGGGACAGTGCCGGACGTGTCCCTTGACAAGGCCTCCCCGTCTCGACCCGCTGGCGCGGGAAGGACCCTCAAGTGACTCCCGTCCACCCTGTACTCGGCGCCCAGACACCTGCCGTCGGGGTCAGAGCGCGGCGGGACACGGGGTCGGGGCGCGGGTCCCTCCAGCCGCCCCCGCCCCGGGCCGCCGCTCACCCTTGTCCCTGACCAGGGCCTCCAGCTCCTCCTTGATGCTCTCGTGCCAGCGGGGGACGTCCACGTGCAGGGAGTAGTCGCAGCAGGCCGCGCCGTCCGCCCGCTCCCGCCACTGCTCGTAGGCCGCCAGCAGGCTCCCGCCCGCGTCCGGGAACACGTGGTCCACTGCGGGGGCAGCGTGGTCAGCGGGCTCCCCCACCGGCCCCAGGGCCCCGCCGCCTCCGAGGAGATCTGGGCTCACACTCCCAAGAGCCCCGAGGGTTCCCAGGGAGCGTGTGAGGAAGACAGGGGGAGGGGCGAGGTGGAGCTGTCCGAGGTGCTGGACCCCACTGCCAGCACATCCCCGCACAGCAGGTGCCAGGCAGCTTCCAGAGTGCCTGCCGGCTGCACGAGGCCTCGGCAGTGCCGCCCACCCCCCGCCTGTGATCCCAGCACTCTGGGAGGCCGAGGCGGGAGGATCCCTCAAGGTCAGGAGTTCGAAACCAGCCTGAGCAAGAGCGAGACCGCGTCTCTACTAAAAATAGAAAGAAATCAATTGGCCGACTAAAACATATAGAAAAATTCAGCCGGGCATGGTGGCGCATGCCTGTAGTCCCAGCTACTCGGGAGGCTGAGGCAGGAGGATCGCTTGAGCCCAGGAGTTGGAGGTTGCTGTGAGCTGGGCTGACACCACGGCACCCTAGCCTGGGCAACAGAGTGAGACTCTGTCTCAAAAAAAAAACAACAAAAAAAAACAGTATACAAACTGGGCCACCGAGGGTGTGTCTTCCCTTGGTGTTGAGGGAGCCAAAAGCCGGCTGCGATCCTGGCAACGGCTAAATGTCACTGGCGAAGTGACCAGGTCCTCCCCGCACCAGGGGCGGTGCCCACGGCGTTTACCGTGTGCCGGGCACACAAGCCATCCGTGTGCACTGGCTCTCCCCATCCTCCCACGCCTGTACGGACAGCCTTCCCCCACTGCTTTATAAAGATCAGCAAAGTCCCACCTACAAAAGCAGGCCGAGGTACCTGCCGTCACAGCTAGAAAGCCGTGGACCCAGGTTCAACCAGGCTGGAGACCTGTTCTCGAGCCCGGCCGAGGTGCCCGAGCTTGGCACCGAGAGCCGACACAGGCGAGACCACGCGGCACGCGAGGGCCGGGCTCTGGGGTCTCGTCCCGGCCTGAGCCTGCCACGCACAAGTCCACGGCGGGCAGGTGGACTCACGCCCACCCCTGCCAGGCCCAGAGGGTCTGAGGGCGCACGCACGCTAGCAGGTGGCACGGTGCACAGCGTCACGACGGAAATGCTACCTGGCCGCTGTGATGGGACGACAGTGAGCGTCACTTGTGCCCTTTTTCTAAAAACACAGCCTCCACCTTTAATGCCTCCGGCCACTTGCAGGAACCTTCTGGGAATCACGTTTCAGAGGCGCGAGGCTCAGGGCTGGACGGGAGTCTGGTGTTTCAGGCGGCTCGGCCCCTGCCTGCCCTCGTCCAGAGTGCTGGGTCTTCCAGACCCCGGTCCCTGCCCAGCTACGGGAAATAATAACTAGACACACGTCCTTTTGCTCCCTGGAAATCCCGGGAGCACTGCAGAGCTGGCCGAGGCAAGATGACCCGGCCCGAGGACAGCAAAGGGACACGGGGCTTCTCAGACTGGGGCGCAGCGGAGGAGCGCTCTCCCCCTGCAGGAAACCTTTAACACACGCCCGGCCAGAGCACGGGGCCGCCGGCTGGACGCCACCCCTCCCGCGGGCCCGGACACTCACGGATCATGGTGGTCCCTCCGGCCAGCGCGGCCTTAGTGCCCTGGCAGAAGTCATCGGCCGGGGTCATGCCCAGGACGGGCATCTGCAGCCGGGTGTGGACGTCCACCCCACCCGGCAGCACCATCAGGCCGTGGGCATCGATGGTCCTGATGCCCCCAGGGACGATGAGGTTTTCCCCGATTTGCCTGGAAGCGGCAGGGAGAGACGTCAGTGGTTACAGAGGGGCGGCAGCCGCTCTTGAAACGCTCGGGTGGCGTGACGGAGTGAGCAGCGCGTGCTGGGGCTCCGGTCCCGGGGACGAGTGCGGCACGGCTGACCGCTCACTGGGACCCTCGCCGGGCAAGGCATCCCACACCGAGATTCAGACAGCCACCGCGGAAGGTCCAGCTCCGCGCAGACCTCACGCCCCTTCCGGTTTCCCGAGGTGGCTCCCACTCGCCACTTTACTGACTGGCGGGGGAGCAGCCGGACAGACGGAGACGCCGACGGGTGAATCAGTCAGCATCTGCCCAACACCCACCGCCAGCCAGGAAACGCGGACGCCCGCGTCTGACCTCTGACCAGCTGGTTGGACTCACCACGAGAGGCACTCACATTCCTGTCCCCAGGGGACAGGGTTTGGAAAAGAACAGACTATTTACCGTGTTTCCCCGAAAATGAGACCTACCCATAAAATAAGCCCTAGCAAGATTTCTAAGCATTTGCGCCATTGAAGCCCCAGCCCGAAAATAAGCCCTAGTGACGGGCGTGGCTATGCAGGGCGTCTGCACAACCCGTGCATGTCGAGGAGCGGGAAAGAAGACGAGCAGCCCTTCTCATCTGCCCCATCATGACAGCGACTGTCCCAGAGGTGACCAGAAAGTGAGGGCAGCCCCACCGACAAGGTCGGCTCCCCTGTCGGGTCCCGGCCGCCCTGTGCGTGCTGCGAGCTGAGGCTTTGAGGGGAAAATAACACACCCCCTGAAAATAAGCCCTAGGGTGTCTTCCTGAGGAAAAATAAATGTAAGACCCTGTCTTGTTTTCGGGGAAACACGGTACGTGGATTTCACCCACAGTACACTGCCCGGGTGCCAGGTAACCCGTGTGCACCCTTGATCTGCAAACAGACTCGCGCAGAACTTACTTTATCAGCCCGTCCTCCACGTACAGATCGGCGTAGAAGGACTGGTCGTCATTCACGATCTTCCCGCCTTTGATGAGAAGGCGGTCGCTCTGTTGGGAACAAAACTCGGATCATTTCTGTCCAGACTCAGTTACTCAACAACATCCTCAGTGCCACTCCCTCCTCCAGAATCTCCACCCAAACATTCCGACACCCGTCTAGGCGCAGAAAGGACCACGGCAGCCTGCAACCGTTTACCAGCCCCAGGAACGGGACGGGGGGTGCCCGAAGGCGGCTGCCACCCCGCACGGCCCCGAGCAGCCCCGAAGCTGTGGCCCGGGCAGTTCGGCCTCGCTAACGGCGCAGGGATGAAGTGGGGGCTCCGGGGCGAGCCGGCGTTGGTGACGGCACAGCGATGCAATGGGTAGTGTTCACAGCTTCAAATTCACCGCTGGGTCAAAGCCCCCGCCTGAGGGAGGAGGTGAGCAAAGTCTACGCCAGGGGTCCTCAAACTTTTTAAACAGGGGGCCGGTTCACTGTCCCTCAGACCGCTGGAGGGCCGGACTATAGTTTAAAAAAGACTATGAACAGATTCCTATGCTCACTGCACATCTTATTTTGAAGTAAAAAAACAAACGGGTGAAAACACCCGCATGTGGCCCTCGGGCCGTAGTTTGAGGACGCCTGGTCTACGCCCTCCCATGCTGGCCTCCTCCGCCCCTTCTTCTATCCGCACCGAGGCTCTGCCAGAGCACTACGGGCCTGTGCTGGGGCCGGGAGCCGGGCACACGCACGGCCCGCACCACGGAGGCAGCATCCCAGCGTGGGAGACTGGTGATGGCAGGGACACGCGTGCACAGATCATCACAGACAGACACAGAGAGCACGGGGGATGCCAGGACAGGACACGCATGGGGTGAGGCTGGGTCGGGGCAGGGCAGGGCCTCTCTGCAGGGCTGACACTGGGGCAATGCAGCCGGGGCCCAGGAGCCGCCTGTGCAAAGGCCCTGCGGCAGGGAAGGGCTTGAGTTGCTCTCATCAGTCCTGAGAAGAGATCTCCAGGGCTGGACCCCTTGGGGGGGCAGGGGATGGGGGTGCGGGGGCAGGCAGGGCCGGGCCCAGAGCTGGGCAGGGGAGTTACGGAACCCACTGCCACTGGGGGCCTTACGCAGGTGTTCATCGTGGCCCAATGGATGTTTTAAGGAGATCACCTTGGCTGCCGTGTGGAGAGGAGAGCGTGGAGTTTAACAAGGGAAACCTGGCCATTGCGTGGGTGGTTTCTGAGGCTGTCGGGTGAGATGGGCCCCGGCCACGGTCCGGGAGGGGTGAGGAGAGGCGATTCCAGAGAGGCCGCCGGCACTTGCTCACGAGAGGCGGCAGGTGAGGGGCAGGGGAGAAGTCAGCGTGGCCTCGGGTCCCAGAGCCGCAGGGGCACCCCACGGGGGAGCAGTGGCCACAGGGGCACCCCACGGGGGAGCAGTGGCCGCAGGGGCACCCCACGGGGGAGCAGTGGCCGCAGGGGCACCCCACGGGGGAGCAGTGGCCGCGGCCAGGCTTTGCGGATTGGCACCAGCAGCGCAGAGCTGCGGCCTCAGACAGGGACCGATTCTGACAATCAGGAGCCATAAATCGTTTCTAGCAATCCTACCAGATGGCAGAGAGGGAGAGGAGCTGGCGGAAGGTGGGGCGTCACGAGTGGGACTGCGCGTGGCGTCAGGGTGGCGGTCTGAGCTTGGGGGAGGACAGGCGGGGCAGCACAGGAGGGGCGAAGGCTGCGTGCGTGTCAGTGCGGGACTGCCGCCCACCCCCTGGCTTGGGTGTTGCCCCCCTAGAAACTACTGGCAGTCTCGCCGGGGCGTGCGCCCACTCAGAGCAGCCATTGCTGTCGGGGCTGCTGCGGGCCGCACTGATCGGGCTGGGCCTCTAGCCCCCAGCTCACAAACGGCCACGGCCACAGCCACAGCCAGCCCCTCCACCTGTCCTCACACAGCCCGGAGCTAAAAACGGTCTTTACATTTTATATAGGTGGGAAAAAAATCTAAAGCAGAGTATCTCACAACCGGTAAACGTGACATGAAATCCACACTGCCGGGTCCACAGATGAAGCGTGGTCAAAGCACACTCATGCCGCCCACTGACTTGCTGCTGCCGGGACGGCCCTCCTGGCGGGGCTGGGCGGTGGCAGGAGAGACACTGGGACCTCAGAGCTGAGCCACCTGCCCTCTGGCCCGTCACAGGGGAAGCTGGCTGACCCTGGTCTGAGCGTGGCCATTCCTGCAGACGCTATGCCCAGTCCCGCTGAGCCCTGGCCCCTCACGATCTCCCACTTCCCTTGGCAGGGCCCCCCCTCACCTCCCCACCCCCCCACACACCAACCTGCCCCCAAGGAAGTGCAAGGAAAACCCAGTGGGGAGGAGGAGGGCTGGGGCAGGTGGAGACGTGGTTCACCACTGTGCAGCCCAAGCCTCGCACCAGCCCTGGGCTCTGGGAACCTCCCGGGTTTGGAGCGGGAGGGGAGGGATAAGCAGCTGGAGGTCGTGCAAGGCTCCCTGCACTCATCTGGCCAGTGGGAAGGTAAAAGTCCCATAACCCAAACCCACCGACAGGGGCACCTGGCCTGCGTGTGCTGGGTCCTCCTGCCGCCCTCACCACTACCCCCAGGTGCCGGCTGCCCGGCAGGCAGGACCTCCTGCGTGAGCACCCACCCTGTGGGCAGCGGCCAGTCCGGAGGCCACAGCCCCTTGGCCAGGGGGAGGGAAGGGGCTCCTTCCCCCGCGAGAACCTCCGGAAGGAGTGACCGGCAGCCACCCAGGCTGGGGCTGAAGTGCCCAACCAGACCCCGGCCCTCCTGCTGAGGCCCTTCCCAGGCCCCACGGACGCCCCCGACCAAGGTCCACGACCCCAGGCGACCCCCTCCCTCCCCATGTCCCGGCCACTGCGTGGGAGGCTTTGTTTCCTACCGGAGCGGGGCCTCCCGCCCCTCCTGCCGTCCCGCACTCGCGAGCGGTGTCGGGGGCGTCCCTCCTCCAGGGCTGGGACTGCGGGGCGCCCAGTCAGTGAGAGTGCTCGCCTCCCCCGAGTCCGACCCGGCTGAGCGGAGGGGCAGAGCGGCCGGGGCTGAATCGCTTTGTCTCGGACAAAGAGCTCCCGACGCGGCGCCGGCGCGACCAAGGGGCAGGGGGCCCACCGGCCGCCAGGCCAGGCCCGGCCAACAAAGGGCCGCCCCCGCCCGCCGCCCCGCGCAGCCCTCGAAGGCCAGACGCGCCCGCCTCGCCGGCCGGCCTCCCTCCACAGGAAAAGGAACATCCGCTCTGGGGGAGCAGGCCGCTTGCGGGGCTCCGGGCGCAGAGGGGCTCCCGGAAAGCCGGCGCCCCGGGGCCTGCGCGCCCTGCGCCGCGCTCGCGGCACTCTCGGCCCAGTAGCAGCCAGGGAGCCGGGCACGCGCAGGAGAGGGGCCCGCGCAGGGCCAGGAGGCTCCGCGCCGCGTCCGGACTCCACGCCGGAGGGGGCAGGGGTGCCGGAAGAAGTGTGTCCGGGGCTGGGGGAGCCGGCTCACCGTGATCCGAGGGATGCTCTTCTTGCCCTGGAAAGACATCCTGCTCCTGGGGCCGGCGCCGCCGCCTGGGTCTGCACGCGCGGCCTGGCTCCGGCGGGGCGGCCTGGGGTCCCGGTAGGGGCGGCGCGAGCGCGGGCGGGCGGGGAACGCGCAGGGCCGGCCGCGTGCGTGGGGGCGCCGGGCGTCCGAGTGCGAGCGCGCGGGGCCGCCCCGCTCCGCTCGGGCCTTACCCGCTCCGGCCCCGCCCCCCGGGCCTCGGCCCCGCCTGGCCAGGCCCCGCCCCGGCCCTGCGCGGCTCCTTTGCATTCCAGCCCCGCCCCGGGCCGCCGGCTCCCCGCGGCGCCACCGCCCAGCGCCCCAGCGCGGCCTCAGGCCCTGACCCCTGACCCCTGCACCCGCGCGCACCGCGGACGCTGCTGGGCTGGGGACCGAGAGGGGCGCGACCGCCCCGGCCGAGGCATGGACGAAGTTTGCGCCCGAGAAGGCGAGGGGGAGAAGTCGGGCAACGTCCCGCCAGGGCTCGCCCGCCCCTCTGCCCTGCCGTGGGCGCAACGCCAGGCCCCTGGCGACGCGAGGCCCGAGGCCCTGGGGCTCAGCACCAGTCTGAGACCCGGACCGCGGTGCTCCGGGAGCGGCCCCGTCCGGAACACCATCTGGCCAAAGCCGGGCTCCCTCTCGGATGGCCCTGGGGGCCCAAACGCGGGGCTGTGAGCTGCCCCCCGAGGCTGTTCCACGGCTGATGCGGGAAACAGGGGAGGAGGGAGAGGACACGTTGGAGAGACACACAGCGAAACAGACACACAGAGATGGCTACCCAGAGACCAAGACGGACTAGAGACCCAGGGTCCTGGGGTGGTCGCAGGATAGAGAAGTCCCAGGCCCGCCAGGGAGGGGAGGACCCGGCGGCCTCCCCGCGTGAGCGCGCTGCTCACTGGCACCGACGCGTCCGCCGGGCCTCTGTCCTGTGGCCACTACCTGCTGTGGGCCGCAGGCCTGGGCCTCGCTGGTCTGCCCTCGGGGGCTTGGCGGGGCCGCGGGGCAGACTCTGGGTCCCTCGGAGTCGCCGCGCGCCCTGGGGTGGAGCTCGGCAACCCGAGGGCCCCCGCGGCCCAGCGCGCCCAGCTGCAGAGTCTTGTTCTCCCAGGCGTCCTCCACGCGCCGGAAGACACAGCCCAGCTTGGGACGGGCCGGAGGCCTCGCAGGCTCCTGCGGCCGCCGCGCGGTCATGACGGGGTGGGCGACGGGCGGCCAAGTGTCCCTCCTTCCTCTAGGAGGACTGCGCGGCAGGTGGACTGTCGGACCTGGCAGCCTGGTCCTCTCCCCGCCCCCTGCCACCCCCCGCCCTCTGCCCCCGCCCGGCTGCGCGCAACTGCCGCTGTCCACGCGGCGGTGCTGAACCCGGCCTGGTCCCGCGCACGCTGGGGCCCAGCCCAGCGCGACTGCGCGCCCGCCCTGGGGGCTGGGGCCTCCTGCTCTCCGCACAGGAAGGGCGCGCGGGGAGAGAAACCACTGTCAGACTGCGGCCACATTTCCAGGCCCCAGGCCCCACACCAGACAAGGTGGCCCTGACTCCGAAACACTGAAACGGAGGCCGGAGGTATCCGTGTAGGCGAGCGGCTCCCGACCTCCCTCCCAGCCGAGTTCAGGTTTGGGGCGAGACAGGGCAGAGGAAATCTAGACTCAACTAGGGGTCACGGGGCGACACTGTCACTCTGTTGAGCCCTGCAGGACTGAATTTAAACGAAGGGATTTGGGCCTCTGGGTTGTTAGGTCAGCTGCATTTCGAAGCCTAAATTCAGACATGGAGAGTCCTGGTGCCACAAAAGCAACTCCCGCCTGCCAGTCTCTGCTTCCCCAGACTGATGATTATAGGTCCTTCACTCACCTATGGGGGCGTCACAGCAGGTATCACCAGCTGTTCTTGCTCACACGTGCAGAAAAGTGTTCCCCTTTCCAACTGGTTTGACCTCTTCCTCGGGTCACATCTGGAAAGCACCCGCGGCTAGCCTCAGCCGGGTGCTGCAGGTACCCCGACCCACGGTGCGTCACCCAGGCAGGTACAGTGATTTGGAGGAGATGCAGGGGACACCCGTACCTCCCCCTCTGCAGGGGCCCAGGTTACCTCGCCAGTGGCAGTTACTCGGAACGTGCACAGAAACACGGTCGTGGCCGATCCAGCCCAAAGTTCAAACTTTAATACCTTTGAGGGGACTTGGATCTTCTCAGATTTAAAACGATTTTTATTAAAACTGTACAATAATTTACAAATGAGTAAAAATTCTCTGGTATATACGATAGGAATCACAATACAAAAATACTTGTAAAAATTGGTAGTTGAACACCATACAAACCTCTTTTAGGCCTTTGAATACTGTTTAGCACTGAACAGGGTATCACGAGTTTAGAAGAATGTGGTTATTAAGGAATTGCTTCAGAGAACACAAATACTGCCTGCCATTCTGCCGTGAGAAAACAAGGTCCTATTAGTCTTTGCATGAATTTACAGTAAAGCTTTTTAAAAAACATACAGTAAACAAATCTATGATTCCATACACATATTCACAATATGATTTTCCTGAGCCTAAACTTAAATCCATTACTGTGTTAAAACACACAATCCGTTTTTAAGGTTTCAGTGATGGAGTGATGGAAATGCTGATCAACGGGTCGATGCGCCCCAGCCCGCTCGCGGGCACGCCCCCTCCCTGTGTTGCTGTCCCCAGCCGCGTAAGGCACTCGGGTATCCTGAAGGCTACAGATTCTGCCAGGGCAGAGACTTCGAGGAACAGCCACAGTCCTTCAGCAGTAAGGTAAACAAAGGAACCTGCAACTCACATGGATTTGTAGTTTAGACATACTAGAACGTGCGTGGTGCTCTGCGTGTGCACATGGTAACGACGAATCGATAACTGCTCGTGTATATGAACGTTCCTGTCTTGGTTACACAGTAAACACTCCTGGCAATGTCCCAGGGTCCCTCCTCTTGCTTCGCTGGGGGTGAGGTGTGTGCACACAGCCTCCCCCCTGCAAAGGGCTGGCAGCGAGAGACCCAGATGCTTGGAAGAAATTCAGCCTAGCCCACTGGTGTAGAATAAAAGGTATAGCCTAAAGTTTAGAAAATGCACCTTATTTTAAAACACTTGAATTCTTCAGATGCTCCCTGGACCAGGAAGAATCAGTGATATATGCTCACGTTTGCTTTTTTTTTTTTTTGGCAAAAGCCCAGCTCTGGAATGATGCATGCAGTCCGATGAAAACAAGGTACACATGGCATATGAATGAAAACAATGCTCTTTAGAGAGAGGGACTGACATTTCACCTGAATATGTGCTTTCAGGAATACGGCTGGGGCGCAGGTGCAATTTGGTAACTGGGACATTATTTAAAACATTCGTTGAGCCATTTTCCCTTTCCTATGTACATACTTTTTACATATAAACAGCAACAACTTCATAAGCATCGATACATATTTACATGCTTCTTTCCTGTACAGTTTGCCTTTTTTTTTAATTGTTAAGGAGCTGTGGTTAGGAGTGTCCGTGGTGGGTACAGAGGGCGTGTGGTCTCCATATGTATATACAACATGCAGAATCATGATGGTCCAAATAAACACGGTGGGCGTAAATTTGGGCGCGCTGCAGTGCACATCTTTGCATCCTAAGTGGCCGGCCTGTGCGGCTGCTGTTCCTGGGAGGTGCACGGCGGGGTTCGGGGGGCCGAGCCGGGGCTCCCCCAGAGGAGCTGGGCTGTGGGGAGCCAGGTGGAGCCACAGCACATTCCCGGACGCCTGCCTGGCGGAGCCCGTCAGATGTCACCCGCGGTCCATCCACAGCGCCGCCGGCGGCTGTCGTGAACACAAAGCTATTGTTTGCCTTTCAGTCTGAGTGCAATGGGTGTGCCAGGAGGATGTCACTAAAATAAGGCAGAATGATGCATGAACGATTAAACGAGATTTCAGGCTGGAGATGCAAACCCCGAGGTCAGGCTCAGCCAGGGACGTTGGACCGGCCCAGTATCTTGTCCGAGCGAATCAGTGACTGTGGCTTAAATGACAACGGAAAGGGATGAGTCCCTCTTGGACGAGCGCTGTTGGCAGCGCACTTCCCGGCAGAAATCCTCCTGCACCCACCGAAGAAACAGCGGACCTGTCTGATCCTATAAGCTTCCCCCTGATTCCGGCCCGGGAAACTGTGCCCGGTCTGCTGCCACTCTGTCGTTTGCACCGGAGCTGAACATTTCTTCCGACACTAACATAAAATGAAGGTAATGCTTCCAGACAACATGCCCGTCCCTCCCTCCGGCTGGAGTCCTCTTTCTCTCGTGCAGCGCCGCCTGTTACGTTCACACCTGGCCGCACAGCTCCCTGCCCGGAGCACCGACTTCCGGGTGCCTCACAGGAGCTCCTGTCGCCACCTTAGACCTCTCCAAGGGTGCGAGGACACAGACGACCCGTCTCCCAGCAGTGAGCGCGGCTCCGTCCTGCCTGGCCGTGGCCTGGGTCGCCCGGCAGACACGGAAACCACACATAAGACTGCCTCCAGCAAGGCGCTGTTTCCTCCCTGGAAAGGAGCAGAGACAAAAGCATTTTTAGCGTGACGTAGCCAAGGCACTCGGGGACCCTGTGTGTACCCTGTCCCACGGGGCCACACCCCAGGGGGTGCGGGCCCTGACCAGGCCCTGTGCGTGGACGTCAGCGTGCCGACTACAGTCCTCCTCCGTGGACTCAGCGCCAGCCACGGCACCACGTCTTGGGCCTGTGGCCGGGGAGGTGCACGTGGCCCTCCCGGGAGACCACACGCTCGCGGGGACCAGTCTGTGCCGACCTTTCTGCGGAAGCCTTGCCTCTTCCTCACAACGCTCAGGGCAGCTGCCCGCGTTTCCACCCAATTTTCCTCTCTCCTCAGTACTTAGGACGTGGGCCTCCGCTAGGTTCTAGGTTTTTTTCTTAGCACCTTTTAACGTTTTGAATGAGTTATAACGGAGCTGCTTTTCCAAGGAGGTGGGCTCTGGACCAGCCCAGGACCTGGGGCACGGCAGCGGGCGGTGGCAGGGCAGAACTGCCAGGGCTACAGGCAGTGGGGACCCCACAGTGTCCTAACCTAGGAGAGGGAGGGGTTTTTTTCTTTTGGTTTTTGGCTTTTTTTTACCTCACTTCTAAGACACCACCACCTCAAATAGAGTGAAAAATAAATGCAGTCTAGCCGGGCACGGTGGCTCACGCCTGTAATCCTAGCACTCTGGGAGGCTGAGGCGGGCGGATTGCTCGAGGTCAGGAGTTCGAAACCAGCCTGAGCAAGAGCGAGACCCCGTCTCTACTATAAATAGAAAGAAATTAATTGGCCAACTAATGTATATATATATAAAATTAGCCGGGCATGGTGGTGCATGCCTGTAGTCCCAGCTACTCGGGAGGCTGAGGCAGCAGGATTGCTTGAGCCCAGGAGTTTGAGGTTGCTGTGAGCTAGGCTGACGCCACGGCACTCACTCTAGGGCAATAGAGCCAGAAAATGTCTCAAAAAAAAAAAAAAAATGCAGTCTGATGACACACACCTGCTTCTTCATGTCACACGTTACCGTGGAAATCTCTGCTGCAACTAAAATAACACAGTTCTTTGTGCCTTTAATCTGATTCACCTCGGTTGGGCGCGGTGGCTCACGCCTGTAATCCTGGCACTCTGGGAGGCCGAGGCGGGAGGGAGGATCGTTTGAGCTCAGGAGTTTGAGACCAGCCTGAGCAAGAGTGAGACCCCATCTCTACTAAAAATAGAAAAAAAAAATTAGCCGGGCATGGTGGCGCATGCCTGTAGTCCCAGCTACTTGGGAGGCTGAGGCAGCAGGATCGCTTGAGCCCAGGAGTTTGAGGTTGCTGTGAGCTAGGCTGACGCCACGGCACTCTAGCCCAGGCAACAGAGCGAGACTCTTGTCTCAAAATAAATAAATAAATAAAATAAAATAAAAGTCTGATTCACCTTTAGGTAAGTTGTCATCAAGTCGCCTGACTCTAGAATGTTGAAGAGGAGGGGCTCACCGGGGAAGCCCTCTCCTTTTGCAGAGGAAAAAGCTGGACCCCTATGAAAAAAAGTGGCTCCCCGAGGTAACACCTGTAGGCTGACCAGGGCCAGGGGTCCTGACCACCCCCAAACCTCCCACCCCATGCCACTGCCTCTCTGAATTGCGCGATCAACAGCTTGGGGGACGAACAACACATTTATTCGAGTGCTCTAGGGCCACGCTGAGGACCCCGCAGCGAGAAACCCAGGCACATCCCTGCCCATGCACGGCTCCTTGGGGAGCTCGCAATGCAGGAGGGACGGGGGCCGTACGTGGATTCCCAAGTGGCCACGGCCACAGGCTTAGCTTCCTCCTCCTCCTCCTCTTCCTCAGAGCTCTCTTGGAGTCTCTCCCTCCACCCCAGACCGGACCGGAGCAGTTACCAACTCTCTGCCTGCCCCGGCCGAGGCTGCGGAGCCCTGAGTGGCTCACACCTGCTGGGATGACCTCCCGGCCCAGGTGGCCTGCGGGCACGATGCCCGATGCCCTCTGCCCTCGGTCCCCCTCCTGGTTGTGACTCTGCAGCCGCCTGAGAGGTGCATCGCAGAGGCGGTGGCCACTCTACGGAGCAGGTACTGGGCGAGGATGTGGCCCCAGGGCCCGTGGGCACTGTGATGGGGATTCTCCGTGTCAGCTTGACTGGGCCACAGGGGTGCCCAGGTATTCGGCTGCACATTATTCCCGGAGTGTCGGGAGGGTGTTTGGGGATGAGAGCAGCTAAGAGGGCAGAGGCAGGACCTGAACTTGGGCCTGTCTGACTCCAGAATTACTTTCAGCCACGTGCCAAGTTTCCTGAGTAGCAGCCTCGGCTTCTCCAAGGATCCGGCACAGACTGGGACAGACCGATAAACCTGGGGAGACCACGGCATGCTGCAGAGGGGCCATGTCTCCGTCCGTCGCGAGCTACAAGGGACCACCTGAATCCGACCAAGGGCTGGTAACTGCAATCTGTGTAGAACTCGGGCAAATCAGTAAGAAAAAAAAATCAAACCGCCCCATTAAAAAGCAGGCAAAGGACACGAACAGAAACTCTTTAAAAGAAGACAGACTAATGGCCAAGAAACATGAAAAAATGCTCAACATCTCTAATCATGAGGGAAATGCAAATCAAAACCACAATGAGATACCATATATCTCCAGTGAAAATGGCGTTTATGAAAAAGTCCCAAAATAATGCTGGCATGGATGCAGAGAGATAGGAACACTCCTACACTGCTCATGGGACTGCAAACTAGTGCAACCTCTGTGGAAAGCAATATTGAGATTCCTCAAAGAGATACAAGTAGATCTACCATTTGATCCAGCAATCCCATTACTGGGCATCTGCCCAAAAGACACTCTATAAAAAAAGACACCTGCACTCGAATGTTTATAGCAGCACAACTCACAATTGCAAAGATGTGGAAACCACCCAAGTGCCCATCAATACATGAGTGGATTAATGAGATGTGGTACATGTACACCATGGAGTACTATTCAGCTGTAAGAAACAACGGTGATCTAGCACCTCTTGTGTTTTCCTGGATGGAGCTGGAGCCCATTCTGCTAAGGGCAGTATCACAAGAATGGAAAAACCAGCACCACATGTGCTCACCATCAAATCGGTACTAATGGATCGACACTTACGTGCACATGTAGCAGTAACATTCATCGGGTGTGGGACAGGTGGGCGGGGGGGAGGGGATGGGTAAACTCACACCTAACCGTGCGTGCGGTGTGCGCACCGTCTGGGTGATGGGCACACTTGTGACTCTGACTAGGGTGGTGCAAAGGCAATATCTGTCACATAAACATTTGTACCCCCGTAATAGTCCCCAAAACGGGGGGCGGGGGGGGGACACCTGAGGCTGGGTACATGAAGAAAAGAGGTTTATCTCGCTCATGGCTCTGCAGGCTGCGCTAGAAGCCTGGCGCCAACCTCTGCATCTGCATGCACACTCACACAACCTGGCGGAAGGGGGAGGGGAGGGAGAAAGGGAGGGGTCTAATGGGGGAGGGGCCAGACTCTTTTTAACCTCCAGCTCCTGGGAACTGGCAGAGCGAGAATTGCTTGTTACCACTTGGAGGACAGGAGAGGAGCCCTCCCTGAGGATCTACTCCCTGGACCACACACCTTCCCCCGCCCAGCTCCAGCACTGGGGTCAGGGGTCAACACAGGTTTGGAGGGTCAAACATCCAAACTGCAGTGGGCTTTGAGGGTACTGAAATCCCTGTGCCAGAATGTAACTTAAAGAAAATTTAAACAGAGAAAAAAAACAGGACATTTTAGCCAAGATAAAAAGCAATATCCTCACAAACTCCAAACCCGGGAGAGAGGTTCTTCCCATCAGAGAGTCAACAGTTCTCCAAGTGGGGTCCCGGGGAACCGGGGCGTGGAGGTAGACACCTGTGCTGGGCGCCGTGTGGGGAGTCTGAGGGGACAGGTGAGGGCCCCGTCACCCCGGCTCAGGCCCCCAATTCCACTGCAAGGCTGGGACCTGCAGAGCCCGTGTCCCTGGGCGCAGGTCTTGGGTGGTGAGCGAGCGGTGGAGGAGGGGCAGCAGGCCCAGCGGGCAGGTGGGAGCCCAAGTGGGGGCCCCAGATGGGTCTGTGCAATCCAGCCCCCACGTGGGCTGTGGGAATTGGGGAGAAACTGGGGGCACAGAACCTCTCTGCAGGTGCGTGGTCTCACTGGGACCCAGTGTGGCAGGACCTGGGGCCTGGGGGCCACAACTGTGTCCAAACCCCTCCACCAGGAGACCTGACCCAGCCCTGGCACAGCCCAGCGCCGGCCGAGGAAGCTCAGCGCTGCTGGAATGTCCCGTTTGTTCCAGGTGACACCGTGACTTCCCTTTCTCACAGCAATCACTGAAAAGGGCTCCCGACTGCCAATGTGCTTCTCCTGGCTCTGAAGCGTCTCTGCAGGGACCTCGAGCCCTCCCTTTGAACTGTCGCTGTCAGGAAGGACGGCTCCGACTCCCGGCCTTGGCGGGAGGGCGGGAGCCTCAGTTCCGAGACTGCCAGACACGGCTGCAGGTCACAGTCACACAGACCGACCTGCTGACCTACTTTGTGTGACTTTGCACTCCTCTGACTCCACGGAGCCCCTGCCCCCCCCCAATCCTCCCTTTAAAACGGTCAAATTCCCTCTGCACAGATCGGAAGGGGACTCAGCACTCGCCTAGCCGTCAGCAGGGATGGAATCAGAGTGTTCTCAGGCTTTGGCGAAAGGTCCGGCTCCGGTTACCTGCCCAGGTGCGGGGTGCGGGGGCCAGGCCTCCAGGGGGGCCAACCCACAGCTCCCTGCAGGGTGGGGAGCAGCGCCTGGGGGTGGGAGCTGGTCCCAGGACTGTCCCCCGTCACCCTGCGACCAGGGGCTTGCAGGGCAGGGCTGGGGGCAGCTCTGGAAGAGAAGCTCACCTACCCCTTGATTTGATCCTTGTGCCCTCCCACCCCAGACCCCTTGGGCAGGGTCTTGGGGCCACAGCCTCATTCCCTCCCCGCCCCCGCCCTGCCCCATCCAGGTCGC